TAAAAAGTTACTTGTACCTTAGTTTTGTCATATTTCAAGTGTAAGATTGTTGCACTAGAAAAAAAAAACAAAGAAAGAAAAAAAACAAGAATTCTCGCTAAGATTTAGTGTTTTTGCAGCCTGAAGTTCTGTTTCGGGTTTCCTCTAGTATTAAACTTTTCAGAAACACACATCCTGAAACTATTAGCATTGATCAAAATTTTTCTGAATTCAGAAAAAAAACTTGTTACAGCACGAAAAGTGGGAGCGGGGGGGGAATCAATCTCACAGATGCAAAAAATGCTACATTTATCCTGACTGAAAGCATTCTTCATCCTAAATGAAATGATTATATGTGCACCCAAGAAAACCTATTTGTTTCCCCCCTCGCCCTCCCCCAGCCCCTCTCTTCCTCTAATGGTCATAGCCGTTGCTCTTTCCAGCCGGTGATCACAACCTTCAATTTCATACGGGGCGCCGCGCGATGACACAAGCTGTATGAATAGCAGTGGTCAGGCACATCCCATCCACTGTTTCATTATTCATTGTTCTCATTTTCCTTCAGAGTTTCATTTCTTTTAGGAAGTCATCTAGAAAGCATTGAAAGCTTATTTCCTGCAGGACAGTGGAGCGAGGGGGTTGTGGATCCACAGGGGCGGGTATGGAAATTGAGCAAATGGAGCAGGCGAAAAAAAAGAAGAGAAAAAAAGCAAGCAGCTACCATTCAAATTGCTTGAATGTTCCATTGATAGAAATCGCTGCATGTTTTTGTTGGCCGTAGATGCTTATTCATTTCAGCCTCCTTTAACCCATTTTACTCCTATCGCTACGTTCCCGTCTGAAAATAATTCTGTTTTTTTTCCCCTCATATTTATGAAAAGAATGAGAAATAGGACTGGTAATAATATATAGGCTTGGTCAGCATACTCTTTTTGTGATTGCCTTTGAATAGCTGCAGCGCGTTGTACACAAAGGCTGCTGCGAAGCGAGAAACTTCCTTCACTTTGCAAGAAAAGGATGCACCAGAAAACAGCAGCTTACACGGGGCGCTGTAATATTTGTGTCATTATGTGTGTTCCCTCAATTTACACACAATATTGAACGCTTAATAATTGATAAGGAACAAAAAAGAAAAAGAAAGACTGTAATATTTGATATAGTTAAACATTCAGACCCCTTGATATTTATGTCAGCTCTGGGGATTCGTCACTTCATGATTCTGTCCATCTCTGCCTAATTTGAATTTATTGAGAGCAATTAAGTGCTTAGCACCATCACCTTAAACCCCACAGTTTTCATGTTCTTCTTCCTGTGTAGGTTTTACTACTTTGTCCTGGAGTCTCCTTGTTTCTTCCACCTGAACGCCATGCAGAGAGATGCATGATTTGTTAATCTGGGGTTCTGAACTGACAGAAGGCATTGCTATGAATATACATAGGCTTTCTGTCAATCTGTTGGTGCAGTGGGAAGTTTATATTGTATCTTATCTACAACACCTGTGTAAAGGAACTCGTAGATAGATATTCAAGGTGTCATTAATCATGGAGTGGTGCTAATCACCAGGAGTCATTGGGGAACCCTGGACATACTGAGGAGCAGCTGTCAATATAAAGGCCATATTATGTTTCCCAGAGATATAGTACCATTTTATAGCACAGACAAGTAGTAACTATATTAACTTCAGTTGTGAAAGAATTGCTATATAGCGAACGTGACAAAAGAAATCTTACTTTGTAATTTAACGCCTTGAAATAGGACCTCTGTCTCTTTAAATACTCCTGCTCTTTCTGAAACTCTGCCTTTAGGAAGTCATGGCTCCTCTTTTAACCTTTAAAATTTTTACCAGCTTTTCCCTGAGAAGTAGCTCCTGTAATGAGCTCAGCAGATCAGCAGTTCAACCACATTTTTGCTAATTGCTGCTGGCTAGTCTGAAGGAGTGGAGGAGTTGTGGGGAAGGGCTACTCTGTGATGTAGGAGATGGGAATCTTGGAAACGGTAGCTCAGAATAGGAGCTTCCTCTTCGTCTTGCTAGGTTCATCCAGGTGTTTTGCACAGCTGAAAGGTTGTCATGGAGATTAAAGAATTCCTCAATATGCATAAAAGAATAATCAAAAACATACACTCAAAGTATGGTTTTGATGAGGGAACAACATTATAATATGATGTAAAACTCAAAGAAGTTTTATGTAACACTGCCCCCTTCAACCTGCAGTATGGAACTTTTTTATAAGAAATATTTTTGCTATCTATTTGTTGACACTGTCACCATGTTGTGACAGGATGGTACCAGCCAGGAGGAGGGTCTTAGAGCTGTCCATCACCCTGTGACTGCCAAGGCTAGTTAGCATAGGTGCCGATGATGGCAGATAAACTGTTTTTCTGTAACTGTATTTTGTTTTTATCCACCATTAGCACATTTAGCAGTGCGTACATGAGGTTAACTGACAGCACTAAGACACTCCTCCTGGCTCTAATTGGTTGTTTTCGGTCAGGAGTGATGTGTTTCTTTGGATGGCAATAATAGCTGAGGGAGGAGATGAATGAGATTAATCTTTTCATAGATTATCTATTTCATATTACACTGTCAGGAAATTGCGACAGCTTTAACAAATATGTAAAAGACTTTTTCTTTTTTTTATAAAAGTTACATACTGCTGCAAGCACAACTGCAGTCAAAAAGCTCCCGCATCATCACATCCTGTATGTTTTATTGCACTCATGCACCATTCCACTGCAAATGCTGATTTTACAAGTTTTCTGTATCTATTAAATATATGTCCTCCCTTTTTAAATCACCTTCCCTAACAGCCTTCGCCATCAAGTCACCGAAGCAAATCAAACCGCAAATCTGTGCTCAAAAAGGCAGAAGGGGAAAATAAAAATAATGATAAAAAAAGAACGATAGAGATACAAATAGCTGGAGCTGTCATATAGTTGGACATATTCCTAGGGGGTGTATTGATCTGTCAAAAATGAGTCAAACTTCACTACCTTCAGATCTGCACCTTCTGACACATTCTAGATGGGTAGATGGATCCGATGCGTATTGTGGTGCCATCGCATGCATCAAAGTGATGTTGAAGCAAAGGCAGCGCAGTGGCCGATACCCCCTCACATGCCAGCTTTTGGCTGGTGAACCAGGCAACGCCAAGGCTCTAATATCAATCAAAGTCACATTGAAAACAATCAACTGATATGATACACCCTGCACAGACTGCTGGACTGAGATTGGAGGAAGAGGCCGCTAACTTGCACATGGAATCAGATCCATTATCACCCCTTCAGAGCATGTCACCTGCCATTCCACTCCGCTCCCAATATTGATCATTTCGCGCCACATTTAGAGAAAATTCCACCCAAGGTGACACTGAAAAACACCCGGGAGAGAGAGAGAGAAACAGAGGGAGAGGGGGAACAAATCCGGTCCTTTTTGCAATGAGCTCTTAGATGAGTTAATTTAATCCCCGGACAAAACAAATTAGAGCTAAGATGTATCATGTTCCGTGCCAAGTCCTAATGGCCTCATCGTTTCTGAGGTGCCATGCGAGAACGCGAGGGTCCCCTGGCGTCCACAAAAACCGGTATGGTGCTTTCTGATCCATTAGTCACACATCTCAATTTAATGGCTACACCACAAACGGAGAGTTAAAAAAAAAACAACAACTCTCTTGCTGTTTGCCTGGGCAATGTCAAACTGCACAAACTTTGTTCTACTAAGCCGCGAGCTGTCACTGCCAATTGTGGAAATTGGACTTCATTCACTGGTCGGACGTCTTGTGCTGTCTGAACACAAATGTGTTAGAGAGTCTTGTCTTCTTGACAGAATTGACGTTGGTTAGTGCAACAGATCATCCAAGTAAAACAAGATCATAAACAGTATTTCCCACAGAAACATTTCAACTTGAAACTTGCTTTTGCTTTGATGTATAATACATCAGATTGACTTGGATAGTGCAAAAATATGAAATTGTACAGTATGAATGAGACATAAAATCAATGCATTTCCAGTAAACTTAGGGTTCTGCTACTTTCCATTAAAGATGTTCTAGTAAGCATGGTGGTGTACAGTAAGTGTATTTATCAAAGATGTCCACCCCAAGCACTCTTAGTAGATTAGTACATCTGAAATATCCTTTTTGTGTTCAAACTTGTTTTTTTTTTTCCTTTTCTTTATGTTGTAAACACGTCAACAATCATCATGTGTTCATATTCTAATTTCCTCTCTTTTCAGAGGAGTCCAGTTCTTGAATCTTGTTCTGCGAGAAACCAAAGAAAAGCCTCTCTCTCCATCCAGGGTTTACTTGAAACTTGGTTGGTTCTTGTTGTACCTGTACCTTAGCTGTTTTCTGGACAGAAATCTCAGGTGTTGTTCCTGGTGTCTTTTCACAGTTTGCAGGCCCAATGATCCAGTGACCACTGAAACCTTGACTTAACGCAGCTTCTTTATTTCCTCCTTTAGGCCAATTTCAAGGCATCAGATTCAGCTACAATGCAAAGTCAATTTTATTTTAAGATGTTGATAAACACATCTTCATATTGACTGAAGGTAAAAGTCATTTGATTGTGGTATAAGATGGCACTATGTGCCTGGAAAATACTAGGGTTAAGACTTGAAACATTTTTACATACAACAGTTCCTGTATTCACGTGTTTCTGGTACGTCTGAAAAACTGATGCACAAGCGACATACACAAACAGTGATGGACGACAAAGCCGCTTCTCTTGACCCACTGGGGGATAGTTTTTGTTTCACAAAACAACTTTGGAGCAAAATTATGTGTTAATCAAGATAAACTCATTAATTTTAGGCCTGAATTTATATGCAAAATTATACATAAACATTGAGTCATGTATACATTTGATCTTTTTCAACTTTAGCATATTGAAGTTGGGTATTTTATGAAAAAAAAAATTCAGGCATTCTATATTGCAAGTGTATATAAAATGGAAACGATCAAACCTACAGCATGTATGGCCTTCATCTCCATCTTAAGCTTCAGGCGAGAATTCTCAAATAGATGCTTCACACCTCAGCTTGCTCAAAATGTCACCGTCTGACAACGTTAAGCAGCTTTCAGTATCCTTTTTCTGAACCGAGGTGACACCTGTCGTCTTGATTAAAGACATAACTCAGTGTCTCATATTCTAAAAATATGCTGAATGAACGTAACTGCTGCTTCCCAGGATCTATAATTAATGTGGTCATATCCAGCGCTGGGAGAGGAAATCTGATGTCTCTCCCCCCGCCGTCTCTCCACAGCCTTGAATGATCCCTGAGAGAACGGCGAGCTGCAAAGGCATAAACATGACTGTGATATCAAAACTTCCCCGTCTCTGTCATTAGTGTTCTGACAGCTGCCTGCACTAATTAGCTATCAAAGATCTCTTTCTTCTCCAGCAGCAGCTAACACCGGTTCAGTAACATCGCAGCTGTCAGAGCGCGTTCTTGTTGCTGGTTATGTCTGTTTGCAAAGGGTAAATACATACTACAGTTAAAGGCAAATGAGATCAAATTTTGAACTTTTTGGACAGTTTTTTTTTTTGATATAGAGAAAAGTAAGTATTTATGTAAGTTTTTTAAAAAATGTGCACATAGGGTAGCTGAATGGTGAATAAGTTCTAGTTAGCTCATTTCGGGGGTAGGAGTTTATAAGTTCTCACTTCTTCCTACCCCATTTTGAGCATATGTTATTAACTGAAACAAAAAATCTGTATTTTCTCTTCTTTTTTATGCACTTCTTGTTACTGTGCACTATTTTATTTTTATATTTGTATCATGTTCGAATAAAATTTCATTTCAAAATTTCAAATTTCATTTCATTTCCTAAGCAAATAAGCTGAAAGTGAGATTGCCTGAGTTCACCACCTACATGCATAACACAATGTCCACCAAAGATAAAACTAGTGACTGTAAAGTCTTCAGCTATCCAGTGAGAATGAAGAGGTCAGGCTAATTGTTGACCATCTGCAGTGGTGTGGAGACTCAACAAACCAGCAACACACACAGGGATTTAAAGGATTTTTATTGTCATTGTTTGTGGTTCAGCACAAATGGCACTGTCTGAGCTTCCATTACAAATGTGTGTAATACATTGTCAATATTCAGCTAACCACCCCCCTCTTCCCCCCAAATTTTGCAATTGTGGCGTTTCCATTAAATCAGAAACGTAATTAAAATCACACGTGAATATGTCTGTTCACTCGATAAATCATAAAAAAACATGGCCAGGTCGTGATCCTCCATCTACTTTTTGTCATCGTCGTCTTCTTCATGGTTTGCGCCAGTGGCAGTGTCCGGTTGTTGATCATGTGACAAACATGTTACACAATGCAGGTTTAAAACCACATAATTAGCTCTCCCCAAAACACAGAGGACAGCCAGCTCAGAATAACAAACAACGATAGGTTTACTTAAATCTTATTCCCTTTGCGGATCATCATCGTTCCTATTGGGGGTGTGAACTTTTCCAGAGCAAGTCCCTGTCTGGAACGTAGACCATATCTTAGATATGATAGATACAGCTCATCGTTGCTCGGCGGGGACGAATGACGCCACTCAGTCTGAGTCTGAAATCATCTTGTTAGGTGGGCCACAGGTGGTGATTTACCTAACTTGATTTGCTTGTTTAAAGCCTCCAAGTGTCTCCTCACCATCCATCACCGAGGCTACAGGATGGGCTGGAGAGCTGAAGGATATTAAATCAGTGGCAACTCAGCTGCTTGGCTTCCTAGACCTTTTCTATTGCCTCCCATCTTAAGAACTGCCACTCTCCATAAAGCTAACCCACAGATAATCCGATCAATTATGTAAACAGTGAATAATAGATACGCTTCGGCATAAATATCTTATAAGTGCACCACCCTGACAGAGAGGCTCCGTTGTAACCACTGTAGTCTGGTTTGCTGCTATCAAAGGCAGATATCAATCTTTGATTTCTCCAATCTTCTGGTCAATATAGCTGTAAGAATCTCAAAGTTTACAGCTTTTCACATTTTCCACTAAGTGCTATATAATGCACCTGTTATAGCTAATGTGTTCTGTTTATGTTGCTTGCTGTCAAGATGCACACCAACTCTCTGTTTTATAATCTCAGGCTGCAAACAGGCGTCAGTGCAATTATTAGATGGGAGACTTAACGTCCCCCTCGGTCCTCTATTATTCTTATACGTTTCCTCCCAGGTTGAAATGCTTTTAGACTTGGCACATTGCAATGTGTTGACAAAAAAGCCTATGAGAGCTTATTGGCACACAGATAGATAGTAAAGCCATAAAGTATCATACAGCAAATAGTGTAAAATGCTCTTGGGAAGGATTTTTGGTGCATTTCTGCTGGTTTTCAGTAGGTGATGATTAACTAATAAACATTTGCTAATAAACTGAAAGAATATGTTGAAACACAATACGAGTCCCCTGGTTTTGCCTTTATGGTATGTCTTTTATTAAATTAAGATGTATACTGAAAAAATTAAACATGAGCTGCAAATATTTAGTTATTAGATTTATTTGGACGTTGTTACAATTTATGGCACAACAAAAGGTACTATTACAACATTTATACTGGGAAACTAGATCTGGTGGACTAATGAATTACCTGGGTCAATAATTCTGATCCTTATAGTGACTTAAGAAACATAAGTCAGATTCTTCTTGAACACCTCGACTCAATCTGTGTAGATGTAAAGAAACCAATATCTAAAGAATCTAAAGAATCTAAAGAATCTTATGTGATGTAGCTGAGGCCTTGTTCTGGAGGTGAATCTCAGTTCAATCTGGAGAGACTCAGACGGAGAGAGGGAAGCAGTTAAAAGGGTTTAATGACAAAAATAACGTGAAAATAAAGACAAAGTTCTTTGGCGATCAGGCTCCGGCCGGGGACGTCGAGCTGGACTTCGATAAGCTCGATGAACATTCCTGATGCAGCGAGGGAATGTAAACCCCCCGGGGCCTGTGCTGGTGGCGGCGGTCAGAGGATGATGAGGCCTGAGAGCCGGGAGCTGAAGGTGGAGGTGGGTTGATCGGGGCTGGTAAGCGGAGGAGGCTGGGAGTGAAGGTCCTTTTGAACCAGAGCCTGGACGATGATTGGCTGGAGTGAGGCTTGGACCTGCATTGAGAGGTCCGGGTTGCGGAGAGGGAGGCACTGATTGCAGGGCCAGGTGCGCCAAAGGAGTCTTCCAGCCTGAACTTCAGTCAAGACTCCATTTGTTCCCTGTGATGAGAATCTGAGTAGTCAAAATGTTACTGGCAGGAGATAGTAGAGCAATCTCACTTTTGAGCAAAGAAATAACAGTTGTTAGTAAATGGCCTGTATTTGTTAATCTTTTATCAAGTCCAGAGGACTGTGAAGCACTTCACACCACATTCATTGACGTTGATTCGAGAAACAAAGGGAACTCCAATGGGAACAAATTTTTTGTATCACGAGTCACGTGATCAACTTTCAGATGCTACTATTGGCAAAAACGACTAAGACAGGAAGTGGTAGGAGGATGATGGTTTGTTTTTGTTTTTTTCAGAGAATGTGCTGCTGGCTCCATCAGAGCTCTCACAGCATCATGCAGTTCATAAAACACTGTGTGTCATTAAACGTGTTGAATCGATAACTCTTCTGTAAAATCACTGACTACAATTTCTCCAAAAACGGCGCATACACAGCCAATCCCAAGTGTATGGGCTTGTCTGCCTGATAAGTCGCTGACATCTCCTCTGAGGGCTGATAGCTTAGCGCTAACGCCATGGGTGATTTATGAATTTATCTCATGTAACTGTTTACATCCATTGCTGTCATGTTATTTATTGAGTTACTGTGTGAACAAGCGTATTCAGGTGTGATTTTCACTTCATTTTTTATTTAATGGAAACACCACAACTGTGAAATTGTGGGGGGTTTTTGTTTTGTTTTGTCATTAGCAAAATATATACAAAGATTTGTAGACATTTGTAATGGAAATGCAGCTCCTGACACACTGATGGTGGCAAACTACTGGATAGTAGTCACAACAGTATGACATTAGTAGGCAAGTGAAGTGTCTTTCCCAAGGACACAACAAAGGAGATGGACAACCCACTGATTAAAGGACGAACTACCTCCATCGCCACCGTTGACTATACCAGGGTGAGCAGTCCCAGTCCACAAGGGAAATAATGTCCTGCAACTTTTTGATGTACCTCATATTTGATTCAGTTGTGCTGAAGCAGAGACTCCAGTCCTCAAGGACTGGAGTTGATTGGAGTTGAAGACACCTGGTCTACTCAAAACCTGGTCTATACCATTGTCAATAGCCACTTGTCCTTGCAAAACTGGGTAATCAGTCTTTGTCCAAGAGGTAAAGTGCACCCTGGACTGGTGACTAGTTCATCACAGGGCTACGTGGGGACACAAAGGGCAAACATCAACACACTCACACTTAAGGACAATGTGGAGAGACCAATTGACTCAAAAATCAGATTTGTAGACTGTAGGAGGAAGCCGATGAGAACCTTTGTGTGCACAGTGAGAGCGTGCAAACTATGCAGAAAGTTCTCAGGCCAGGAATAAAACCCAAGACCTTCTTTCTGCAAGGCAACAGTTCTACCAGCTGGTCACTAATTAAGACAAGAAAAACATTCAGCTTCTATTGCAGCTTAACTGAGATTGTGTTTAGTAAACTTAACCTGTGTTTGTGTTTAGTAAACTTAACCTGTGTTTGTGTTTAGTAAAAATCATTTTTGCAGAAGGGGAAAATGTTGAAGGTACTCAGTCTGATGGAAAAGCATAATTTTTAAAGACAGCTTAAATCCACTTTGAGGAGAAAACATGTGCTTGGAATAAATGATTTTTTTTAATTTATTTTTTTGGTACAGTTCAGTTTTTTTTCCCCCTCTGCAGCTGAGACTCGTATCAAGGCATTCTGCCATAAAAAGTTTCAGCCGACTGTGTTCTGCAGTCAAGACTTTGATATAAGTACTTTCATTCCAGCATTCCTCACCTCTAACGAGATTACTTAGCAGGCTTAGTGACTGGCAGAGGAGTTTAGCTGCAGGTAGATGATCAAGAATATGCATGTCTGTTGTAATTAGACTGCGCATGCCACCACAGACCAGAGTTAGGTTTTATTAAGACTAATCTCTTATCTAAACACACAGAAATGCCTGCCCTTTCTGAACCTTTGATTTCCTGACCTGGAGACTTTCCTAATTAGTCGATTTTTCTCAACGTTTTGCCCTTTGCTTAGTCAAAGAGACATCTGAATCTGTTTTCTACAGACAGTATCATTCCTATTGAGTGGTTAATATATTTGTAATACAGTTTTGAAAAAGCCACCCGTGTTGTATTTGGCTTGTTCATCTTTACAAATCAGATAAACCTCAGTCAGATTAGCCAGAGAGCGTCTGTGAACAGCAATTTTCAAGTCTTCCCATAGACTCCATACTGTTACATGAATAACCTTTTACCTTAACCATCCCATTGTAACTCTGATTGTGTGTTTAGAGGTTGAACCTGTAGTCTCAAAAAAGATATTTTTCGAATCATTTCAAAGTGTGGTTAGTAGTGAATTTCATCATTTGTACTTGCATGCTGTCGAGTAAACTGACAGCAGCTTTAACAATAGATCCTACCCAACATCTTGTTTCTATAAAACAGCATTAACTGATCCTCTAAGCAGTGAACACGTGCTATAAATGTACCAGGTTGCATGCTACCCAGAGACTTGGCTCCAGTTGAACAACAATCATGGACGAATAAGGAATGGGAAGCAATTTAGCTTTCAGTTACGGAGGAGGAACGGTAGTCTAAAAGGAGCAGTGTTTTATTTTCTCCATGAAATTACAGGGTTATCTGGCATCTCCTTTATGTATGAAAACAATAAGCCAGATGCGTGTTCGACGACATCTTCCTTCCCTACAGGTGAAATTTATCGCCGCAGCATGTTCCAAGGGGAAATATTATATCAGTTGCAAACAGTTTTTTTTTTTCCAAACTAATGTGAAAGAGATTCTGCTTTTACACACAAAAAACCCCTAAAGGCAACACTCAACTATTTTCTTTGAGAGCCAAAAAGAAAAGTCTATTGGAGTCTTTGAGGGCATTTTGCTTCTCTCTGTTCTAACGCCAGATGTGCAGCTCTGCTTAACGTGTGCAGTCGTACGGCATACCTTTTATTTATTTATTTATTTTTGGGGGGTGAAACTAAAAGCCATCACACTCCGATGTAAGATGACACAGTCCTCATTTGCTTCAGAGGTGAGAAAATCTCAGGGCCACGGCGTTACGTGACCTTGGCAGTTTTCTCCCCAGGGTGAAGTGAATTAATAGCTGACCTTTAGATTCCATCCTCTGTTATATCCTCTAGTTTGTTTGTTTTTTCCTCTTTGTGCTGTACTCAGAAAATATGTTTGCTTTTTTATGCTGTCATCCAAGTTAAAGAGGGTTTCCATGACAAGACAGATCTGTCCTGCCTCGCTCGCTGTGCTTTAGGGAGTTTGGGATAACAGATTTGTTTGTGAAGAGAGAACTGACCAAAGATAAGAGCTTGCTTGTTAATTTATGACCAAACCTTTGCTTGTGAGTTTGAGCCTATTGACAGAAAGAACAAGCAGCCAAATCTAGTTTTCTCCACAGCCATGCTTCCATCAATGTTTTTTATGTGCACATTATAGTATTACATTAGAAAAGGTTGATGAAAATGGCAAAATTTTAAATAACTTCCTCAGTTCCACAAATAAGTTTTTACATTTGCTTGAGGTGGTTTTCTCTTTCCTGAAAGGAAATTGAAATGTATTTGCTGGATAAATTCTGACATGGCGAACTTTCTGATCCATTGGTGGGTCTGTGTTTACTAGAGGCACAATTCTCTGAAAATTTCAGCACAGAGGAGCGGACTGTAGCCTATGGAGTGACCGGCCTGAGACACTCTATGCTGGGATGGGATTGGTGGAATGCTCCTATCAACCCATCCACTCCAAAATATTTCAAAGTTCGAACCTCCTGCATGGACTGGAGTACTCTCTAAGACCTGCTAGTTTGCAACCTCTACATCTTGTTTATTCCAGTCATCTGTAACATCAACATCTAACAGAATTACGCTTTGCACAGCCTGAATTATTCCCTCTAAAATGGAAACACGTCTAGTTTCCATTTTCATTTTCCTTCTTTTGTGCAACATTTCACAAAAGAAACTTGCTTAAAATGTGCTTGTCAATTTGGTAACATAGCATGTGGTTGGAATATATAAAAAGAAAAGCCTAGGAAGTTCAGGGTAGGAGTCACTGAAGGTGGTATTTGGTAAAAATGCACTCTGGACTATTTCCATTACTATGAAGGATATTTTATGTTCCACTGGGGGGAAGCCTCAGGGCTGTCTCTGAATTCCCTGCTAAGATTATATCTCACACCTGGTCTGGAAGCACCTTGTAGTTCCCCTAGATGAGCTGGAGAGGAAGCAGGAGGGAGAGCTCTGCCAAAGCAGCTGCCTCTGCAACTGTCTAATGGATTAATATTGCAGGTGAAACTAATTTTAATACCAATCATAGATTTGATTTTTTTCCAGTTTCGTTCTTATTGGTGATTCAAGAACCGTAACTCAGTAGGTGTGGCTTGCAGTGCATGGCCTCCTGGATTAGATGTTGATGTGTTCTTGGAGTAGATTAGTAAATTAGGTAGACAGCGAGTGGTAGGAAAGTTTGCCATTGTTCCATATTTTCTTTGTGGATAATGTGTCTCACTTTTGTTAACGGGATTGCCGAAGCATTAGCGATGGCCTTTGTAACACATTCCAGATGTGTAGATGTCAGTGGCTTTGTTTCTCATCCGTTGTTGAATTTCTGTACCTCGTACCAAGAGGTATTCCTTTTAGTGATCTTTTAGCCTTTGTCAGGTTGTCAGAATAGTTCTATATGCAGAAATTGGTTTGGATTTTATTAAAATGGAACCATCATTTGGGAACAGCTCTCCATGACTGCGTATTGGGGCCATTGCAGATTTTGCAGAGTAAATGTTTGCCAAAAAACTGCGAAATTTTGAGATTAACCTCTGTAATTTTCTTGAAAAAAATTTAGATTTTCAAGAGTTTTGAAAGTCAAAAAATATCCAACTTTTAAAAATCAGAAAATTTCCAAAAGCCACATTTTTTATAAGTTTAAGCTCAGAAAGTTCCAAACTTTTGCTAAAGAATTTCTGAGATTAATCTCAATTTTTTTTTTTTTTTTTTTTTTTTTTTTTTTTTACAAATTTGACTTTTCAAACTCAGAAAGTTTCACATTTTTTGGTGGAAATTTACTAAAAAAATGTTTTCTATCTGCAATTACCCTAATACGCCGTTGTAGCTTTCTGCACAAAAGTCACCTAATTTGACGATTTCTTTGGTCATCCTAATGCCTTGAGTGTTCGAAAAACAGCAAAAACAAAAGAAATCTATAAGAGGGGCAATTACTTTTTTCCAACACTGTGTGGAAAGAACAAAAAAAATGCTGCTTGGGAAAAAGTAACAGAAATGATCAAGTCTGATTTCACTGTAAAGAACCCTGCAGAGGTGCAGGAAATGCTGGGATTACAAATGTGTTGGCAAAAAAGAAATCTTTCTTACACAAGGACATGAGCGGGGGCTCTGGGACGGCGACAAGGCGGCCTCGTTTTATCTATAATGCATGAACTCGGGTTTTATACCAGGTCTTAGTGTTTTATAGAGATGATTTATAAGGAACCAGATGTACAATGTGAGCGTGTTTCCCTTGCAAACTGAAGGTCAGCTGTGCTTGAGCCAGTGTCACCTCATTCTGTCTCAAAAATATACATCTAGATGGAACTGGAACGTTTTAAAAACTTAGTGCAAGAGCAGCATTACCATGGAAACCACTGATGATGCATGCATATAAGCAACACAAGATTAGATTTAAAGATGGATGGGGGCGATACATAATCAGAAAAATTTACCATGCTGCTACCATTTTTATTTTTCGCATCACATTTTGTGGCTTCTCTCTCCGACCATTAACATTTCATACCAGAAAAACATTCCTCTGAAAAAACAAAACAAAAAAAAACATGTTTATGTATGGTGTGAATAATGCATGCAGTGAGCATATTCTCAGTGCACACTGTTCCTCTTGTCAACATTCAACATCTGTTAAAGAAAAAGACATCTGAATTTTTCAAAAGTGGCATTTGACCTACCGAGACACGTCTCAACGCTGCTCATGTCCGACTGCTTGAACTGCCGGGGAGTCGACGTCAAAAACGCAGCGCAAGCTTGTTTCTGCTTCTTGTTTCATGAGAGTCGGGTCTGCTGCGGCTCCTATGGGCTGGCTATAGTCTGCAATGAATCCATGCTGTGGGCATCAATCATGGTTTGTTTCACATGGGCAAACGGTAAGGAGTGGGAAATTGCAACTTTCAACCTCAGCTAAATTCTATAAAACCCTTCACAACATGTTTCTCATTCACTCATTTATGCAAGTCATTTGCTGTGGATCTGCTACACATGGTTCTGAGCCGCTGCTCGGTGAAATCTCAGCTTCGGTCTTGCCCGATGGCACTACTGCACAGTAAGGGGGTTACATTTATAATGACTGTCCCAATCCCAGCGCTCAGACTGGGGTTGGATGAGGGTATTATGACATTATAAGGAGTCTGAGACTGAACTAGTCCATACCTATTACTATTGCAATTTCCATAACCAACTTGTGTGCATATTAATGTTTTGCTCAGCAATCAAAGTTTTTACCTTTACAAAGATATTCACTATTCACAGTAAAAGCTGCAGTATGTAACATTTTGTAAAAAAAAAAAAAAAAAAAACTTTTTTTTTTTTTTTTTACATTTGTTAAAATTATCATTGTCGTTACAGTATAATACGACAGTCTGTGAAAAGAATGGAGCTCCTCTGCCTTCTCCCAGTGCTAACTTCAGAAATACACCAGGAGGAGGGTCTTAGCGCTGTTAATCACTCTCACCACATCATGCTTGCTCTTCGCTGAGCTACAGGTTCATCACAACATAGCCTGCCATAAAATGCTAATGCTAGCAAGCATAGCCTCCCATGACAGTGGATAAACGGTTAGCTTTTCCTCTGCCATTAGCACATTGAGTAGCATACAGCAGATTAAATGACAGCGCTGAAACCTTCCGTAACTCTGTTTTTGTTATGGTCCACTTAGATTGGTAATGTGGATCGTATTAAAAAAGAAGCTATAACTTAAAATCTTCATGTTACTTGTGGACTATGAGGTTAGAAACAGAATTAAATTCCAAGAGGTCTTTCAAAAACAATTAAAAGTAAAAAAAAAAAGCATCAGTCAAATAGAATGTTTTCTTGTTTTGTTTTAGTTAACATTAATTGCTTACATGTGGCTAAGAGTGCAATTAATTGTACTAAATACTATTATTATTTTTCTCTATATTTGTACAGTACTTTGGTCAGGTGTTGGTGCTTTAGGGAAAAAAGAAGTGGTATGGAATAGTATTGCATGGCATGTTATCTTATGCTATGGCTATTTAGCAATATATAGTGACTTTATTAGCAAGATCTAATAGTTTATAGGATGTAGCACCAGTGGAGCAGTTCAACTGAAGTCAAAGTGTCACTTTAATGAACCAATAAAACAACTTTTTTCAAAGTTTTGTCCCAGCATGAGGAACTAAAACCACAAAGAAATGTGTTATGAGGTGAATAAATCAACAAGTCGTATCAAAACAGACAACATGCCAGCATTAGCAGTAGACTGCTCTGAGTAAAACCATGGTGCCCTGGAACAAAGAGGGAGTTTATTGAAGGCTGCAACTATTTTTATAGCTTCACTTATATGCTTAGAAACATAACACGGAGCAGCTAAGGTAAGCAAGCTAAGTGCTATACAATCATAATGCTAATGTGACTTGTGATACTGATATGTTATTGGTTATTTCCTAGTAGATGCATTACACTGATTTGGTGTGGTGTTGGACTGCGACACTGTGTTGATAAACGGCTAATCACAAAAGACTTTGTTTTGTTTCTATGACAACAAACTTTGATCAGGTCATCCCTAGCATTTATAGTTTACAGTTTTTCATTTATATTTTTCGAGTCATGTCACAACACGAGCTGCAAGCAGTTTTCCATTTTCACACACCTGCAGTAATATCAATTCCACGTACGCCCATGCATGATGAGTCGATCAATAACATGCTCAGGTGTCAGTGCTCCTAAAAGCCTTTCAACATATAGAGACCAAAAAAAAAAAAAAAACCCTGCAATCGAACTTGCAATCTCCTGAACCGCAGCCACCACACTTACAGAAGGGGTGGGAATCAAACATCCAAACTTGCAATTATTTGACAACCTGCTCTACTACCTGATCATTAGTGCTCCAATGCCCACACTTCAGTATACTTGGATTCTTCAAGAACCAAGAAACATTAAGAGGGGGGAGGGGGGGGGATCAATACAGACCCTTCACATTCTAGACGTAACCTTTCTCGTCTCCCCTCAAACAGCCGCAGCAGAGCGCTGGGCGTAAAAGCCCACTGATAACCGGAGAAGTTCCTTTGCTCTTGATTTGCATCACCACATACCTGATTTTTAGCTCAGCAATATATATTTTATAAAGTGGATATGAAAATTAAAATCAGTTAAGTAAATTATTCTAAACCATTAATAGGGATTTATAGTGTGTGATTAGAAAGAAGTTAGGTGACCACGGCCTTACCAATAATTGAGGTTTCAGGTATTTATAACTGCTTGTCAATAGTCTGTTACATGTTACCAGCTTAATGAGAATATTTTTTATAAGTCCTTCATATGGTTTGTCTTATAAGGGACATCAACATTTATTCCCTACACTGTCTTTGTGTGACCTGGCTTAATTTAATTAATTTATTAAGTTTATCTGTCTTTTATAAGAACATAAATGTAGCCATGAACAAGAGTATGTGCAGAACTGAACTCTTCACAGCTGTGCAGCTCAAAAATATTATTTGGTTTATTTTGCTAAACTAGCTCCGGAATCAGTTAAATAAGGAACAGCAAAACAGGATTGGCTTATAAGTTTGACTAGGGATGTAAAAATTCATCTAGCTAAAAATGACAAGATGGTACATAATGACTGAGTTACCTAAAACATGTACGGCCCCCCTGGGGACAGGATGAACTCCTGAGCCACCATCAGCCATGATGGATTAATTCAATTCAAATTAAAAAAATACTTTCTTGATCCCAAAGGGAAATTAAATGTTGTTGTAACTCATTTAATTAAAGAGTTATTGTAGCTGGTGATGGCTGTCGGCAAGAAAGATCTCCTAAAGTGATCAATGTCATACCAAGGCTACTAAAAAGAGGGTTGAAAGGGGAAAAACCTTAATTGGGTTACTAAATATGCAATGATTGGGCTCATTTTATTTATAGTTAAATTTGGCATTAAAATCATTCCGATTTAAATAAATAAGGACTACAACCTCACAAAGTCTAAAGATTTTCATTAATAAACAATGAAAGTTTATTAATGCTAACTTTATGTCCAATTTTGTTGTCAGCAGTAGATCTTGATAACTGACTTATATCCCACCCATGACAACATTATCATACAAAATCATTTTAAGTTTAAATATGCACTAAAAATTAGCAGGAAAAAATTTGAAACAACCTCAAAATCTCCAAAATGAACTGTATTGATGATTTAGGTTAGCCAACAGATCTAACAAGCACTAACTTGATTTAACTTGAAAAGATTACATTAGTTAATGTTAAACAAACTTGTCCCATAGTGAACACAACCCACTGACAATCTCATACTATGCAAGACTTTAATTAAAGTCCAGTTAGGTCACAGTGTAGTTCAACAGTGTAGCCTTTAATGGATGCTAGAGCTTTTCTAACAGCCTGGGTCAAATTTTCTGACCCAGCCTCTGTCAAGACATCTGTTCCATAAACAGCCCATCTGCTTTTTGAGTGCGTTCAATATCTGTTGGTTGACACAGAGACAAAACGGAGCATAATGTATTCACATTTGTTTACATCGCTGACAAGCGTTTAGCTTAATGGCTCTGAGCGACAAAACCTCAGATTTGCTTCTTTTTTTTCCCCCTCCTTTCTTTCTCTTTGACAGTTGGGGCTCCTGACGGTCAAACCTCGGGCCATAATGCTTCTGCCACTCACAACACCGATTCAATTTACTCTCATTTCCCGCTGTCTGCATGCCAGGGCCAATAAAAAGAATCGCATCAACCTGATGGAACGTGTTTCCCCGGCATAAAAGAAACATCGCTAACTGACGCTGTGTCAGCTGGGAACAAAAGGACACGCCGGAGCTGTCAGGTTTTATACGACGAGACATTAGAATACACGACAGGCGGTGGCATTTATGTTTGTGCAGCATCATGGAGTGGGTGCCGTGGAAACACATTTTCAGACCGTTTTACGGCGGCGCAGTGGCAGTTTCTGACCCCACGTCTTCTTCACGTCTCCCTCACGTTAACGACACACTGAGTCCACACTGTAAATATTTAACCGGTACGGTTTGCTTACTTTATTATGAATTTAAACCGAAACCAAAGTGGTTAATGGTTTGTCAGAATTGATGTTAAAACGGGAAACCTGAGGTTAAACTGAGTTTACCCAAAGGAACAAATGGTGTTTTTTTCCAAAGTAATATCTAATTTATTGTCTTTACTTCTCAGGAGCTGCTATATAAAGTCACACAGCCATGCTTTATTACACCCTCTGAAATCCCACAGCTCTGTTTAATTCAACTTCTTTGTTTTTCACCTCACCTTCATGCCCTGCTGGTAGGTTTTTGTTTTTTTTCCCCTCCCAGAAAAATTCCTACCCACTTTGCTAAGGATGTTTCAGAGCGGTCTCACCTGGGAAATAGTTTGGCCTTTCAAAGAAAAACTAGTGCAGGAGTGTATGTGTGTGTGTGTGTGTGTGTCCCCTCTTCCCTGCGTTCGCCACACCTCGGGATCATTTGCATAGCGTTCCCGAGAGCAGAGTGGGGTTCTGAATAGTCCGAGGTCCTGCTCAATAAAGAATACGGTAAGTGAAGTGTGAAATAAAGCAGCAGATGGGGACCTTGTTCACTTGCGCTGGTGGAGACGGTGATAAAACTGGGGCAGGGATCTTGTTGCTGTCATAGCCGAGGCACCAGGAGCACAAACAGAGCAAATATGAGAAATTCCTCTACAGCAAACAACTTAGACGACAACTCAAATCTCAGTAAAGGTACAGAAAAGGGGCGACGTCACAAACAGTACTTGGAAAGGTTACATTTAACAGGACACTGAATTTTAACAGGATACTAGTAGTAAATATATACTACATATCAACTTTTTTTTTTTAATAACCTGACAGAAATGAGTCATGACTGTCGACGCAGTGCAGATAAGTGTCAGCATGATTCACTGTTAATGAGCTCTATAATTATGTCTGCAGCTACAGGTAAACTGACTACTGACATGTTAATAGATGCAAAAATGTACTCTAGTGTTTATGTGTGTGTTCCATAACGTGTAAATAAGTGATTTAGTGAGCCTAGAAGTTAAGTACTTTGATTTCCTGTGTAAATTGTGCAAGGAAAACATATTTTAGAGACCATTGTCTTGGAAATTATCTGTAGTAGCTAGACGGCAATTCTTGTGCTAGCTTTGTATATTCATGTAACCTAGCTTGTCACAGGTTTCTGCTCTGGTCTCCTTGTAGTCTCTGGATTTGATTCATATTGGATTTAATGTTATCATGTAATTTGTTGGCTTTATTTGAAATACATGTTGAAAATGTGGTATTTTAAAGTTTACTTCAGCATTCAGGCTAATCTCCCAGAGTTAGCCTGAATGCTAAGCACAGTAAAAAAGTGTCCAAATATTGATTTAGATGGCAAGGGTGCTATAACATAACCTGATAAAAAGCATGTAACGTTGACCATCCATTTTCTACGGTTGTTCTGACCGGAAACGATAGCAGCTGTGGGTAAAAGGTGTCATGTCACTTCCTGTTTTACACAGTGGAATTGTTTGATCTAGCTGATTCTCTCAACCTAATTCAGATTCTCTTAACTGTAATACTACACAGTTATTCTAACACTTAAGTAGGTTTTAAAGTTTTCTGTTCCTGTATGTCCTGATGGTTTACCTTTGTGTTTCAAAATGTTTTTTGTTAGTTTTAAAGGTTGCTAGCACAGTATTAGATCAAGCATTACAAATGTGCGCAAATCTTTCCTGCTGATCTCGTCAAAACGATTTCAAGACTGAAGCATTTCCATTAAATAAGAAATTAAATTAAATGAATACATGCACATGAATAAGCTTGTTCACATGATAAGTCATTAAAATCCATGGCAGTGACTGATTTACCGATGAGATTTTACAGCAGAGCTATGGATGCAACATGTTCAAATGACACATAACTTTTTAACTGTGATGCTGTGATATCTCTGGTGAAGCCAGCTGCACATTGTCCAAAAAAACCCCTCCAAAACAAACCACCATTTTCCTGCCACTTCCTGTTGTTGTCTTCTTTGTGGTTTTCGCCAGTAGTAACTTCTGGCTGTTGATCATGTGAGTCGTGATGCAACAAATAGTGTTTCCATTGCAGTTTTGTGAAATACATCTATTTCAGTAGATGTATTTCTACTGAAATAGATGTAGATGAAACAAATACATGTTTTGATAGCTATGATATAGAAAAAATAATAATTTCAAACAATAAAGTGTGACAAAAAGTAAGAGTAGCAGTAGAAATATGCAAAGGGGCAAACACTTTTTCACAACACTGCAGATGAGCCCCTGTCCATGGCTTTCAGTTCAATAGATCTTTAGAAGCACTGAAAAAATAAAGACCTTCCAGATAAATCAGATATCTCACTGAAAGATTACAAAAATCCAGTTTCTCTGACACAATGAGTTCAAATTAGGTGCTGTTATTAATAAAGAGAGGGGTTGGGAAACAAAGGAACCTGAAAGTCTTAGTAATGACTCAGGAGCCATTATATCATTAGACCACATACATACCCTATAAATGAAAATTAAGATCCCCCATCATCTGGTCTTTGATTGGAGAGAAAAAGAGGTGGATTTTTCCAACAATGCATGAGTGCCAGGCACCACTCTGTAATTAGAGAGTCACTGGTATCAATCACCCTGCAGTGGCAGGCTAATTTTTCCATCATCAATTACCTTGGAACATTTTGGACGCCGATCAGACGAGACCCGTCTTAAACCCTCTGCCTGGCTGTCACTGACACTAATGGAATTTTAAATCTTCCCTCACAGTGGAGTTCTGCTTAAGTGCAAGTCCCAATTATGGGGAGAGTAATTTAGCTAATCTACTTGAAAAGACACGATAGGCTGCAATCAATATCAAAATATGTCCCCTGCTTAGTGGCAAGCAATTTCCTTCAATTCCAACACACCGGGTTTCCATTTCTGATGTCTGTGTTTACTAAAGCACGGCAACTTACCTTTACCTCCCAAAAGAGCAGGAGAGCAATGCCATGTTAAGGCTTTTGTTATGGTAGTTTTTGCCTTGAGCTGTGGAGCAAATATACAAACAGCTTCAAAGTGAATCAGCTTCATATTTGCTCATATCATGGATGGCACAGACGGACGGAAATATTTTTATGGTGCTTTATCTCAATTCCTGGTGGCTAACTCCCCATTCCTGGTTTAAAGTATGCAGGTACATTATGCTTTTATTTATTTCAAAAAGGTTTTTGAAAACAAGAAACCAGTAGAACAAGAGAAAGCATGCATACATATCCAAGAACAAAATAATTAGCTTACCGCTACTTTTTTGTTTGAAAAGGAGTAGGAAGAAGTAAATACTTATTTAAGCCACACCCCGTAGAGCAATTTATTCAAGTATATCACTTAACTCAGTTGTTATCAGATATTTGTAATTAAAAAACATGTTGTAGTTAGTATCCTTGTTCCTGTTCAATCTACTGTGCTAAAGAACCAACAAAAAACAAAATAAACAAAAACAAAAATGATTTCAATTTGACCCGCATAACAGGGCAAGAAAACCTACTAACTCATAATAATAATAATAATAATAATAATAATAATAATAATTATAATAATAATAATTGTAAATAATAATCGAATGTACAGCAACAGAGCAATTACCAACTTCTTGCCAACAGATATCATATAATATACTCAGTTATATAGCACACAAATGTATTTATAAAAAACTAATGGCTGAAATAACAATAAAATAAAAATAATAATCTATTAATAATGGTAGTGGTATCATAAAAAGGAATGTTGTGAAAAAGTTTAATGTCATTTTTTTTCTGAAAAGTTTGGTAATACCAGATTGAAGAAAAACAATATTAGAAGTGAAAGTAAGACGATTTTAAGTAAATAAATAATAAATAAATAATAAGATATTAGTTCCACCAGTAGATTATTTCGTTTAGAAGACATCTGATTCATGTTATAAGTGGAATAATCTGCCATTATAACTAGTTCTTTTTCATCCGTATTCAACAATTGACTTAAAACAAGCTCTTATATCTTTCTGAAAGTTTCTTGTAAGTTAGTTTGTCTTATTTGAATTGTGATATTTGCACTAGAAAATATTTTATGGATTTTATGCTATTGCAGTGTGTGTGAAAAATCTTTCCTTTAGAATTACATTAGTTTCCTGGGCACCTTATGGTTAATAATCTGTTGTCTTTCTCCTTTGACTGGTTCGTTGTTCGGTCAGTTCATCCAAAGAATCGTTAGTCACTTTAGTGAATTTCTTCAGTTTCTTCAGCTTGAACTGCAAACAGAATCAATCAATCAATCAATCAAATTTTATTTGTATAGCACATTTCAGCAGCATTTCAAAGTGCTTTACATAATTAAAATAAAAGCAGCATGTGACATTGAATAAACAGTGAGAGAGAAAGAGATTTTGAAAAAGATTAAAAAAGATAAAAACATTAAAACCCGCACCCCTTTTAGGACTTCAGTTAAATATCGTTTAAGTCCCTCTGGGACTTTAGTCAAAAACACCGTTTGACAAGGACTCCAACCTCTAGGTTTTTAGTTGAAACGCCGTCAACTGGGACTCTAAACCCTGTAGGACTTTAGTTAAACGTCATTTAACAAGGATTCTCACACGCCTAGATATAGATTCGTTGAACTGGGACGTTTTCCGGGGGGCTTTACATAGACAGTGTGAAAGACAAATAAAAAGAAGTTAATAACTAGATGAAAAGTAAAGATAAAAACATTAAAAACATCGAAGACATAGAAACTAAAGATAAAACAAGGTACGACTGCCTTTGGGCAGTCTGGATTTAAGAGCATAACTAGACAGGGACAGGAACGAGAATAAAGGAAACAAGAAATGTCCACTTTTGAATGTTGCTTATGTTGCTCTTTTGGTAATGAATTGCACAGAAAATCAATAAGGTTCAACAAAACACCTTTCCCTTCTCCTGATGCATCCTCATTGTTCTCACTGCTGTAGTTCATGCTCCTATCACTCCTATCATTTTTGGTTCTTTGGTAGTTGATAATATTTTTAATAAGTCATTATTGTAAAACGAAGACACGTAATTTAAGGTATTTTGGGCTTATGATTCCGATGATGAGAGACTTCCAAGACTGAGGAACAGGCATTCGGGAAACTGGAAAGGGCTGGTGATTTAAAGGATCACAGGAAAAACCGGCATAGAGGAGACGGACAATTGAAGAACTGCTGAGAAGGAAATGAATCTGACTGACTCTAAACTTCTGGGGAAGGTGGATGAGTGACACACAGATCCAGTCGGACTAATTGGTCGAATGCAGTGCCGTTGGGAGAAAACCTGAAGAGCTGAGTGAAAATGACTGAACACACAGATACACAAAGAAGGCACAAAAAAATTAAACTGAATTAAAACCTAAAGACTAATATTACAATGAAAATCAGGGGTCATTTTTTGTGTTTCCTAAATTAGAGTGGAATGAAGGCAGAGATTGATGGACTAATTGGAGCCTCATCTGCAGTAATGGTGACACATCCATGGCTCGTCATGGAGAAAAAACCTCCAGCTGAGTCAAAAACTAAACTGTTTACCAGTCTGACCTGTTTCCTCCGTTACGCGACCTTAAATAGGTGGAAGACAATGAGTGGACTTCAACAATTTACTGACCTTACCGATATATGCTTAATTCATATTTTACATGAATGGAAAATTGCATCATTTTTTTGTCCAGGAGCTTATTGCTTTAAACTTTACAATAAGAAACCATGACAACTTTAACAAAAACATAGCCGACCTCTTAAATTCTTGTGTGTGTCCCAGGTAACTATTTTGGAGAGAAATAAAATCGGTTGGTTGCACGTCTAAGTTGCTTGTGTCATGAACTTTGCAACCTTACACTTGTCTTGAGAAATTCCATTTCATATTATTACATCCATAATTTACAACACTTCACTGTGAAATATATAGGCTTCTCTGTTGGATAGCTATAATTTTCCCTATTTTTCAATATGCCAAGCTCCAGTAGAGCCTTTCCCTATGAATAGAAGCAGTCGCATTATCTCTCATCTCTATTTCTGGTCTCTTTATAAATTTAGCATCAGACCCTTTTGATTGAATGTGCGAGTGAATCTCTGTCTCCACTGGATTTTGACATTTGTGATCAATAACCTCAGATAATGACTTTATGTATTTATACATAAATGTTCTCAGCTGAGCCTCCAATTAATTATTCTTCTCTAATCTTTCTTCTTTGTACCAGATTTGTAATCTTCTCTGAAGATGTAAAAAGAAACAAAAAACAAAAGAGAACTATAAAAATACTGCCTCGGGCAGCGCAAATTAAAATGTGACCCGTCTGATTGCTTTGTGGAGAGAAGTCATCTGAGATGCCATTTACCTCAGTATGGGAATCCTGAGCTGTTTACATGGGCCAAATAAATTAGACTCTGGCTTCACTTCTGCTAAGGTCTTCAGATTAAGTTTTTATTTGAATATTTAATCCTTTGTCAGAATGAATGAAGAAGTAAAGTTGACATTTTTCTGGATGTGTATTAGAGTAATAAGACGTTTCTTTCACCCTGTGAGTAGAAGTACACATGAAAGCAGATGTTTTATTTTTAGCATTATTTTCCCCAGCTTCATTAGAATATAACGGTCCAACAGAAACGTATTGGTTTTTATTAAGAAATGTTTTTATTGAATATCCTCACCAAATGACAATTTCTAGTTTTTTTAATGAAAAGGTAGATTCATGTTGTGTGTAGAGAGAAAGCTAGCAAAAGACTAGATAGAAAACTAGCGAAAGATAAGACAGCTAGCTAGCGATAGACTAGTGAGCTAGCAAAGATAGCTAGCGATAGACTAGATATATTACGTTGTGTGCAAGAAAAAGTGAAATTATAACTTCTACGGAACGCCTGTGTTGGTGGACAAGAGGTATAAAACTTTTATTAGTAAAAACATCTAGAAAACCATATACCATTTTAACACCCCTTCACAAATATGCAATAATCTCACATAAAACCTACATTAAATGCATTTCAGTTTGTGCTTGCAACATAGCAAAATATGGAAAAGATCAAGGGACATGAATTGTATTACAAGACACTGTTAATGTTTAATTCATTTATAAAGAAGTGGTGCTAAAGAAAACAATAGTTAAATTTGCCTGAGCAACACTTCCTGCTTTAATGGATTCTTCTGCCTTAGGGGGAATGCATAACAAGCTGTAAACAGTAAAGGAGTTTTATTTCTGGCCGCTTCATGAACACGACACACAATATCCTGTGCTCCAGCTGGCCAATAAATTGGCTGGACTGCTGCTTGGGTCTGTGCAGTGGATTTAGTGGAACAAAAACAATTGATATAGCATTCACAAAAACATAGAGCTTGAGCTCTATCTTGCTAACTGGATTCCTTTTGAAAGAACTGGTCATTTGTTTTGCCCCAACACAAATAAATCATGTTATATTGGTCCAGACTGGACAAAAATAAGCTTAGAAATCGGGTAATTTATTCAATTTCATCATAAGAAAAAAAAAACTTCAAACAAAACACTTATTCCAAAGGGACATTAAATGTTATAACTCATATCAAGAGTCATTGTGGTTGGTGACAGGAAGAATGTCCAGTAGAAGTCAGTCTTGCAACAAAGTTTAAGAATCCTCTGACTGAAGACTGCTGCTGCTGCATGACAGCCTCATGACTGTCATGACATACTAACGGTATGCAATGACAGAGTGACAACAATGCCTTGTTGCTATGATTAAGCATCTTAACAACTCCCTGAAGGTAAAAGATGAAAAGCAAAAATCCAGCTGTACAGCATCCAAAACCAAAAGGAAGGAATAATTGTCCAAACATGCAATTCCTCTATCAGAAAAATATGGATAAAAATCGACAAAAAGACAAATCAGAACTAAATCAGAAGTGACAGAGCTTCTCCAGTGCTGCCACCATGAGCGGCCAATTCTAGATTTACCAATTACACATTAAAAAGCACACTAAAGGGGGCGCCAGAGAACCCGAGGAGAGGGTGATCATAGAGGCATTAGGAAATAGACATATGTTTTATACATTTACAAAATCATGCATGAAATGATCAAAATCCTTGGTGGAAAGTTTAGTCAAACAACATTGTTAGAAACAAAGCTGCCTTTAGTCCAAATTCACTGGTGGATTCTTTCATGCCTTGAGTGTTGTACAAATTCTCCTCAGCAAGAATTGGTCCTAAATTCAGTCCGCCTGCTTAAGATAAGACAGTTCATGTTCTTGGTTTGCTGTCTTAATATTTTTGAAGTACTAGCTTATGTACTAAAAAAATGTGTCATTTATTAAAAACAGAAATAAACAGGAAATGGCCCATATCTGTGTAGTGCTTTATCAAGTCTGAGGACTATAAAGCACTTAAGCTACACCACATTGAATGCAGTGTTAAACTCAGCGGGTGTTTGCCAATTGCTGCCACTTCATGCCATTCCTGCTGGACAAGTAATCAATAATATATATTGTGATAGACGTGATCACTATGAATTGTTAATACATCTGATAGAATATTCAACACATAGAATATTCACTGAGCTCCATAACGGCTTAAAAATAAGCAATGGTATGGAATGAAACCTGTGGATAAAGCAGGTCAGGCCACCAGTTTCTCAGTATTTCAGAATTTCAGATATTTAAAACAAGACTAAGACTAATCAACAATTATCACCATCGACAATTCGATCAACATCGACTGATATGAAACGCTTATCGGTATAAGTCTTTCAGGCATATTGTCCAGCCTTAATTTCACATTTCTAGTAATACTTTCAGATCATAATCCACTCGCACTGAAAACATGTTTATTTACACTTCATGCCAAATATGACATTCCTTTGTCAAGAAAAAAAAATGATTGTGAAGAAACGGTATCTTCAAGGTCAGGGTAGTGACTGCAGAGACCCAACATGCAGACCATTACCTTTCTGATGGTGTCACAGAAACACGGCAGATATGGAAGGACAAGAACACCAAAACCATTCAAATGACACAAAAACTGTGATTTCCATTAGAAACAAAGCAAACCAGTCGTGATAAGATTTCAGAGAGAGCATGTAGAAAAGCAGCAGTCAGCTGGATGAGATAAGCATTCTGGGTTGGTTCAGGTAGGGGGGAGTGTTGATTGGGCTCGGAGCAGCAGCGATCTAAAGGAACTCATCTGCCCCTGGGGTTCCTGCTGGGATTAACCCATCCTTGATAACAGGAATGAAATTTATTCTAATCTTCTTATCTTTTTCCAACTTCATTTGGATGTATGAAAGACACATTTTCTCCTTCATACACATGAGAGGAAATCCACAGAGTCAACAGCAGCATGTTTAACGTTGTGATTGAAAACACATGTAGGAGTACATCAGCTTTACAAAATCCATACAAAGGGTGAAGATGCCAGACATTGTATGTTCTTCATGGTGGGGAACTTTATCGATTAAGCTTTCAAAGAGATTTTATAGGTTACTGAGTTAGGCTGAAGACGGGCAAGGATTTAATTAAAAAAGAAAAATCTAAGTTCTACTGAAAAAGTTCATTTTCATTAAAAGTAAGAAGACCCTAGGATGTGTTCCAGTCAAGACACCAACATTTTTGCCATCCAAGGGCATTAGGAAGAAGACTCTGACCAACTGTCTACCTTAGATTTAAGAGAAACAATGTTTGTCTCAGATCTTTACCCTTAAGACCTGCTGAAGATGTTAGAGTGGTTTGATTTTCCAGTCAACATGTGTTTTTGTTTTGATCTG